AAGTAACAAGAAGGGTGATGTGGTCAGCACCAGGCCGGCCAAGTAGAAAGATCCAGAACACACTAGACAACCGGTACCCAATCGAAAGATTGGGTCGACCTGAGAGCCAAATCATTTTTGTCAAAACGCCTAAAGGCGAGCGAAACACGACCTTTTACCATCGCTGTCCGTCTTTCACGGGCACAAACCATTAAACCATAAAACCATGTGTATTTCATGTGAGCTAGTATTATTTTTGACAGTCGGACATGCAGGCTTTAGAGATCGGATAAACCGACGCATTGCAAGATATATTCTTAGTATTTACACATGTAACCTGTTGTCTTTTACAAGTAAGTAAAGTAAAGGACTTTTTTCCACGCCTTTAGGCGTATAGGGCATATAGGGCTAAACCTATATTTTTATAGACCATCGGTACAAGAAGGGTGATGTGGTCAGCATCACGCCGGTCGCCTTTACTTCCCTGGACTGCACCCGGTACCCACTCAAGGCTGGGTCGACCTGGAAGCCAAGATCATTTTTGACAAAAGTCCGGTCCTCCAGGGAGCGAACCCACGACCTTCCGATCTGCGGCGAGCGTCTAGCCGCTCCGCCACGGTGTCTTTTACAACGATCCTGGATATCGTCACTGGGGCTACGGAGTTCATATTTTGTGCAACGCTCTAGGTAGGCGGTTCTACAGAGAAAGACAGTCATAAGAGATAACCAAAGGCAATGAAGTCGAACCTCTTGACTTTAATTATCATTAAAGTAACACAAAATATCAGACCAGCGTGTATGTTTGCTTGTGTCCATTTTGACAAATACATTTACCGGCGAGCAAGCCGATAAGACACACGCACAGACAGGCAGGCAGGCAAGAATACAATACATACACAAAGGCAGACAGGTGAGCAGAAAAACCAGATAGATAACTGAATCTACTCAGTATTTTGAAAATGTATCTTCCTTGCCCCTGTTTGCGGACACACACAAAACGGTAACACCAGATTTCATGTTTGTTTCAATTATGACGAGCATATTACGTTTTGATCATTAGTTCACCCTGATATATATTTAATGTATATTTTAATCCCACGCTCTTTCTCTACAAAAGGAGGTTAATAGTGTACATCTACTGCTTCATACAAGCTGGAATTATTAACATCATTATTAATAACGAATGCTGAATATTTTATAATACTGGAGTTTTCAGTGTTGTGATCTAGCTTTAACGCATTACTTTCAGCTTTCTGTTTTGTTGTTTTTTTTCAAACACAACAAATACAAAGGAATATATCAATCCTTGTTTAGTCAGATGCTCGTTATATGGCTTTGTGCATTGCGATGTCGTTTCCTGTCATTTGTATCATTGTGTGTCAAGCTTACCGTCTTAATAGCATGTAAATAAGGTATTGTTGTTTGCGTTAAGCTGCAGGATTATATAATAACGAACAAAGCTGGGGTGGATATGTTCCAGCTAGTTACAGTGCGTGTTTGCAGTGGGCAGGAGTGGTCGGCCTTGAGGAGCTTTCTGGCCAGCTTTATAAAAGTATATGCTAGCTTGCGGGCGAGTGACGATGTCTACAACGCATGTGTGAGTGTGCTGTTGTTGATCTTACTGCTTTGTAGCTTCATTAATTCTAGCTGCTCATTTAAAAAAAAATTAGATTTACAGAATTTAGGATTGGTGGAATTTCGGATTGGTAAAGGAGGAGAAGGAAGATGAAAAACAAATGACAAGGATTATGATGATAAAAGAGGCTAAAAATAAAGAAGAAAAAAAAAGAAGAAGAAGAAGAAGAAGAAGAAGAAGAAAAACAACAACAATAACAGCAGCAGCAACAACAAGATGACATAGATGATGATAATGATGATGTGTAAAGGAGGAGTAGAAGATAATGATGACAGAGCACAAGTAGAAGGAAGATGGGCAACAGGAAAAAGACATTTAGATACTCAGTTTGGCACTCGGGTTAACTTCAAAACTAAATAGCTAACATATAACAAGTCTGTTACTGACATGTAATCTACCATAATCTTTCTGTCAGCCCGAACCTCTTCTATTGCTGATATTTCCAGTTGTAACAATATTCTACAATGCTTTTTCGCATACCGTACAAATAGTAAAGACTTCCTTTCTCTTCTTTATAATTAAATACACTGTTCTAATTTCAATAGCCATTTCTCAGCAATAACATTTACTCTAGATGTCCCAGGTATTTGCTGCATTCCTCTTAAAAAAAACGCACCTCTGCTTCTCAGAGTGCTTCCTAACTTATCCATTCACATTCTAGGGTTCACTGCCATACATGAGAACATGCTAAGCATAATATTTCAGCACTCCCTCAAAAATAACACACAGCACAAACTATCACATGCACACTTTCAGACAATGAATTTTCTAAAAATCTGAAGTAATATACAGCAAACAATGTAAGAAAGACATATTTATTATATTTATTTAACAACACAGTTGCACTGACTTTTGTTTCTTAATGCATATACAAATTTGATCAAAATATAATTTTTACAAACTAAAAGTTTTTAATTTTAAATCTGAGATACATTCTATTTTCCCAGCAAAAGCAACATAAACATTTTATGAACTTATAACTACTATTATATGTTCAAATCTGAATTAAACATGGTTGAACAAGATATCTTGAGGGCAAATAATCCTAACAACTATGTCAGTAAGTAAATTCACTAACTACTCTGCTAGCACACTTGTCTAGAGACAGAGTCTTCTTGTGCTCAAATTCTTTTCAAGGGTCATTTATTTGCAATTAATCTGGACTGCCAGGCTAACACAGCATAAAAATAAGTACCAGAAAATGTTCTTAAAAGTAAAGGCGGCTGAAATAAATCACCCATGAAATGCTGCTTGATCTTCATAAATGTGGGGTCTGTCAAAATTTTGAGAGCATCCATCTTATTTGTACAGACATATCGAAGTGAGTCATGGACCATCTCGTAGACCCTAAGGGAGAAAACTGGGGGCTATAGAGCTGAAATGATAAAGAAAGATTCTCAGAACACCAAGGACAAAGAAGAAAAGAAATACTGACATTCTAAAGCATCTGAACATCAAGAAAGACTGCCTAGTAAATGGATTGGCTTGCCATTGAAACTGAAATACTTTGGTCATATCAAGCACCATGGCAGATTGCAAGAAATAATAGCAGAAGGCAAGGTATCAGGAAAGAGGGGAAACGGGTGACCATAACAAAGATTGGTACATGATATCAGTGACAAATTGGGTAGGGAAATGCATGAGGTAGGAAAGCTGACAAGAGACAAGAGTTTCTTTCGATCAGACCATGATGACAGCGATGCTCGGCAAAGGACGTGCGACATGATGATAAAGACTAAATTCAGGTCTGCTACTACTACATGTAAATTAAAGAAGAAGAAGTGGTGGAAGTATGCCCTGTAGGAGTGTTGACAACATTGTGGAGAGAGAAAAAATAACATTAATACTCAGTTACTGAGTCATCGAAACAATAAGGAAAAGTTACACAAAAGTGTATGATCCATATCAACGAAAGCGGGGTTTAAAAAAACTACTCTTGTATCAAAAACATTAAACAAGGAAAGACAGTGAAATATGTACATGGAAAACTTAAAACAGCTGTATCACCTTTAACATTATAAGCAAATTAAACTTCATGAAAACATCAAAAGACAGAAAGAAGTGGACACTCATGATCAGCAGTATTTGCCCCAGATCAAACATCTGAAAGAGACTACATTAGTCAACATTAAAGAGGAATGTACAATTACTGAACCTTCTCAAAATAAACAAATTATGTAGAGTTTACATAAAACTAAAAATAAAGAAATCAAAAGAAGGCCAGGCCCAGAACCAGTCATTCAGTTCATAAAAGAGCAACAGATGAAAAGGTTCGGCCACCTAAAGAGAATGCACTTGTATCAACTGCCAGAGAGACATCCTGAAGAAATATTAACAACACTGAGCAAGGAACCAAACAAATGATGGAGCAATAGCATCAAGAACATCATTAAATAAAAACAGAGAGCTTTAAACAGTGCATCAGAAATAGCATAAGATGATGCTTACATCTTCCATATTTCTCCAAGCAAACTGAAGGAGAAGAAGAAAAAGAAGAAGAAAGAGTTTTACAAATATATGTGTACACATTTCAACATATGTCAGTTATGAACTGTTTAGAAATTAAATCAAATTATGGTAGCAGTATATAGTATGATGTTCTCTAAAAAAATATAATTACTCAAATGTCAAGCACGATGCATAAATGAATACTAGCATTGACAAGTGATCTAAAAACCAATCAAACAAAATGCCTGAGGTACAATGACTGTCATCTAAAGAAAGCAATCCTATTGAAGTAGTATTGTAAATCTGTGAACATTGAAGTTGAATGATAATGGAGGTGTGAGCTGGCAACACAGCCTGCAACAAATCTTAAAAATGCATGTGTATCCATGGTCAGTCTGAAACTCGGGGTACTAAGAGTGATGAGAATATAGGAAGATCTCTGAGGCCTTATCATCATAATCATCCTGCTGTTCAATTTATACATCATATAAGGCTTTTAGTCTATTCCTCCATTTCATCTATCTTGTGCCATTTCTTTTTATATCATAAATTGAATTCAGTCCAGCACTTCTGGCCTCTCTTATCAACGTTTACCTTATAGTTTCCTTGGACACACTCGTTTTCATAATCCAGTTGTTTTTCAATATATCTTCTTAGTTTTATAACTGCCAATGCCAGTGGTTGTCCAGTGATTTCACTTATTTCTTAGCTTTTCTAGTTAAGGAATTGGACAACAGAAAGTCCTGTTTCTTTTGATGTGACGTTGAAAAAGTTTACACGCTTGCCATACAAATCTAACACACAATGTACATGTGAGATAGGAGTTAGCAGGACACACATACAGCTCATACTTGAATTATCTAAAGAAGTCTGCAAATATTTGTAGTGGAATCTACATAAATAACAAAATTACTGAAGGCACTTCCTCCTCCTGTTCTCATGCCATAGGGTTTGTCCCATTAAAGGTTATCACTGGGAACTTCCACAGATCTGGATGGCCCACATGAGATAGATAATTATAGTCGGAGGTGCTCCACTGGAATGGTGGCAGGTCATCATAGGTTGGACTGCTAATGGCCAAAAATGACAAACTCCTGAACAATTGGATGTTGGTGAGCTGTGAGGAACAAAAAAAAAAAGAACAAACCATTATCAGTATTTCACAGGAGTGGCTGGCTGAGCTGTTAAGAAAGCTGGGTTCTCCACTAGGAGACTCAGATTCTAATTTTCAGTTAGCAGACAGATTTTTATTTCTGTCAGGGCCAAAAGTAATTTGAAAAGAAAGCGCCGTTAGAACTACATCGGTCATGCACTCAGAATAGATAAGACAAGACTATCCCCTCAAGCCCTCACACGGACACCGCAAGGTAAACAGAAAACAGGGAAGACCAAAAGAGACCCAGCATAGAATCATCATCAATGAAGGCTATACCATAGGCCTAACAAATATCTAAGACCTAAAACTGGTGGCAACGAACCGCCAGACATGGAGAGCTAGGACCTCTGCCCTATGCGCCGCCCCAGACTCAAGAGGAAAAGACTAACTAACTATCTAACTGTGGTGACAGCACTAGCCAGGTGGCACTAAATCTCCAGGCATTAGACCCACCACACTGTCCTACAAATGTGGTACACACAGACAGTCATGACAGTGAATGTCAGTACTTCATTTTTGTAGGTGTAAAATAAATCAGGCATTTATTTCAGTTTAAAGCAACTGATAATTCAAAATACTAACACTCTTTGTCAAAAAAAATTAATTATGAGATAGTCCCAGACAGTACAGTTAAAATTAAAATACACAGATATAACTTTACATATAAAAATATCCAATAAATACACTAAACTATTTGAAGCATGAGTTCAGGAATCATTCTATGACACAGAAATATAGCTCAACTACCAGGAAGAGATATCACATTTAGAAATCTATGACACTCATTTTAAAATGCTACCCTGATTCCCTGTTATGGGTTCCAGGGAACCCGTTGGGGCTGAAGGGGACGAAGTGAACCCTTAACAAGTACGACAGAAAAGAATGTGCTGAAATCAGAAGTGTTGGGCTGAAAGACACAGATATCACAGGCTAGCTGTTAACCCCCAAAGGACTGTCAACCACCTTTGTTTAAGAACAAAGAAGAAGATACGACCAAATCAACTTTAGAGTCATTCAGGTTAAAAATAATTCAATCATGCTACTATGATGGAGCAACCATTGAATCACTGTGCTTGTAGGTAAATGCATTAACTGTCTCATCACTAGATCTCTTAATTATTAGTAGCACCCATTGTTTTCTCCCAACAGTTCAATTAACAAACATAAAGAATGACCCTACCTTCATGTCAGTGGCAATATGAGGTCTATGTCCCAACGAACCAAACGCATATGTGCCATTAATAGGGTTGAGGTCATCTCTGCAAGCTATAGCATTTTCTGCGGAGTATGGAGGTGTGCAGTTGCACCGAGACAATGGATCTTTTTGGAAATTGTTATACCTAAAGATTGAAAAAATAAACAATACAATGTTCATATAAAAATATACTGAGTTTAACTTTTAGTACCCGAAGTCAGTTAAGTTGATTATAAATCAATTCAAGATTCTCAAATTCGGAAGCTGAAATATTTTGACCATATCAAGCGCCAGTGGAGTGGAAAATACAATAGCAGAAGGCATGGTACCTGGGAGGAGGGGCAGGGGCTGACCAAAATGATAGGCATAGGATATAAGTGACTACATGGATATGAAAGTGCATGACATGGGAGAGCTGGCAAGAGACCGAGTTTCTTTCAGGCAGACTGTGATGACAGCAATGTTCTGCAAAGTACCTGCTATATGATGATGATGATGATGAGTATATACATTTATTGGGGTTCTCCACAGCTAAGCTGTTTGCCTAGTGCTCCAAAGGTTGTCAGTTAAATTCATGGACTGTAATGTTCATATAAGTGCAATTTTTATTGACATCCAAGGCACTGTCACTGTGGCTGCACAGTTAGTGCTTTGTGCAAAGCTCTCTCCAGGTCACTAACCATTCTGTGTAGAGAAAGTGAGCATACTGGATAAATCCTAGTCTACTGTTAAACCTTTAACACCTATTTACTGCATCGATGTACATTCCTCTATGAATCATTACAACTAGTAATACTGAAGGAAAGAGGGCAACGGGAAGCCAAAGATGTAATTACCTGGATAGCTTGGCTACACGGATAGAGTAGGACAGGAGCAATGGCCTGATCTATTTTTTGCAAACCATTTTTCTTCTTTTGCCCTTTATCCGCAAATGGAGCATAGGCCCTCAACCAACTCATACAAAGTCATCCTATCCTTTACTATCGTATACTTCCCACCCCGTTTCTTCTCCATTTGTTTCTTTTTTTAAACTTCACACCAATGTTCCCTTCTCCGTGTGTTTTTGGTCTATCTTTATTTATGTCCCCTTGTGGTTTCCAGTTTCCAGGATTTCTAGTTAAATTGTTTTGAGGTTTTGTTCCAGTTTCCAGGATTTCTAGTTAAATTGTTCTGAGGTTTTGTTCCAGTTTCCAGGATTTCTAGTTAAACTGTTCTGAGGTTTTGTTCCAGTTTCCAGGATTTCTAGTTAAACTGTTCTGAGGTTTTGTTCCAGTTTCCAGGATTTCTAGTTAAACTGTTCTGAGGTTTTGTTCCAGTTTCCAGGATTTCTAGTTAAACTGTTCTGAGGTTTTGTTCCAGTTTCCAGGATTTCTAGTTAAATTGTTCTGAGGTTTTCTCAATGTGTGTCCTATCCAATGCCAGCATCTTATCCGCAAACCATTACCGCCAGCATTTATTGGCAGGGCACATGATGATGACCAGTTACAGACAGAAAAGATGACAGAAGAATGGTAAAGATGCACAGAGAAAAACATGACCGCAAAATGTAAAAATATATACAGAAAAATGACCCCAAAAAAGTAGAGTCAAGAAAAACAAACCTCATCAATTTTGTCATAGATGTCAGATCTCTAACCTTTCCAACATCTCGCTGGAAAATGCGGGCTCGAGGATTTTTATCATAAGTAAACCAGTCCCCATACTGTGCCACGGCTTCTGGGCCTCCACTCTTGTTAAAAATATCAGGGAAGTAACTGCAGATATTTGTTTAAAAAAGAATTATTATAATGTAATATGACTCTTCATTTGAAAACTGATTAACAACAGGAGAATGTGAAAATGAAGACTTTGAAGCTTTCACCCTGAGAACCCATTAATCTGACACTGCTACCCATTACAAATCCCTGAGAAGTTTGCCTTTGCTGTACTGGCCAGTCCCCCAACAAGGCTACTTAATGATATTGGTTCTGTTTGCACCTGCACAGTGTTTAAGAGAGCCAAACATGACTGCATTCATTAAAAATAGCACTTGGGAGAGTTTACTGTAAAAAGTTAATATTTTTAGCGCTAAGGTGTTCAAATTTATAATTTGCCTTTAGCAGTTGCAGAGTGATAGGGTTGGGTAATGATTTTTGACTGGCCCAGAGAAATGTATTCTACTTAATACTTCACCCTGTTCATGTCTACTAATTATTCCTCTTTATATACCTCTTTTAAAAGTATTAAAATGTATATAATTTGTGAGTGTAATTAGTAACATGTATAAAATGGCTTTTTTTTTTTTTTAAAGGCTTTTTTGGGGAATTCCTGGGTTCTGGACATTTTCCTCCAAAGGTTTCCAAAGCACAAGGATTAAAACATACAGCCATTTACCATCATCATCATCATTTTCCCCAGCAGAGTGAGCAGGGTGGGGGTAGACCTACCGCCCTCTATCAAGCATTTCGTAAAAGAGGTATGTCGTAAAAAGTTAATACTTAGGATTTTGCAGAAATCAGATCTGTGTGGCAAAAAAGACCCAGGTATCATAGCCTAGCTGCAAACCACAACACAAGTCAACTGTCCTTTCAAAGGAGAATACAGGAGGAATAGGGAGGAGGAGGAGAAGAAGAGTAAATCCAGCCTCAGATGTCTGGGACTGGAAGTCACCATAATTAGTTATATTTTACAATATTACGAGCGACGTACTGCACTAAGAGCACTTCTATGTGTGTTCAATAGCACCCACATGTTACCAGCTAGATTAGTCATAAAGTGGTGAAAATAGGGGTGATTGCAGTCAAGCTAATACCATGAAATTAATCTAGCCATTGTTGTGGAGCTAAGTTCTTGTTGACAAAGGCCCTATCAGAATTTGTGTTGTGTTGTTTTGTGCACACTGTTCCTTAAACTTTTTAGTCACAGATCACTGGATTAATTTCTTAGATTAGCCATAGCCGCTCAAAAATAGACAATGATTAATTTGCTTGCTAAGAGATACTGTTTGCTATTTTTGTTTAAAAGAAAAGAAGCATAGTGGATTCTTTTATACCATATTCTCCCAGTGTGTGTTTCATATGCGGGGTGGGGGGGGGGGGGGGGGGGGGGGGGGGACACGAGAACAGTTCCACTGTCCCATAACAAGCATGTCATATAAGGCAAATGAATAAGGGTTTGCTTAAAGTGGATGTGTTGGGCCTGAAGGTACAGATATTGCAGCCTAGCTGTACACCATAAAACAACTGCTTTTTTAGGGGTGAATGATCAAGAAGAAAAAAGTAATACATCCTATTCAAAATTAAACAATTCTATAATATAAACTGTCAAACATTTATATGAAACTGAAACCAACACATAAACACTTGAACACCAACAGACTTACGCAATATTGTAACTTCCAAAATATAAATTGTTATACAACAGCTGTGTCAAATCTTGATACTCGATTGTACCTCTGTGACAACAAGAGAGACATAATTTTAAAAAAAAAACAGTATGAGCTTAAACTGGGTGTATAAACAGAGATACATAAACCATACACAGACATCTAGTATCTACACACACCAACAACATGAATCCCTCTCTCCGATCTACTCTTAAAGGGAGTCGCCGTGGCCGAGCGGCTAGACGCTCGACGCAGATCAGAAGGTCGAGGGTTAACTCCCTGGCAGAGAAAGACTATTTTAAAAAATGACCTTGGCTCCCAGGTCGACCCAGCCTTTTTGTCATTATAAATATGCGCTTACAAAGTGAATTGTCTCTAAAACAAACCATTAGTCATTTAAAATATGTATATATATTGTCTTTAAAATAAAATTGCAGTTACTCAACAAGTGTGCACACTTACGGAATTTGCTCCAAAAGGTAAAACAAACCAGGGACTGGTTTCTTGCTGTAGGGTCTAAATCTGTGGTAATCAATAACCATCCACTGGTTGTTGTAGCTGTATAAGACACACACACAATTGAGAAAAAAGGATATGTTTAAAATCTGAATTGTGAAATGTAATGTATTTAAACACATTACTATATGGCATCAAAACCTGGACAATGAATAAGCAAATAGAAAGTTGAACTGACGCCCTTGAGATACAAAGAAGAAGTTGTATTCCATGGAAACAAAAACAATTAAATACCAAGGTTCTAGAAAGATTCAAAATGAAAAGAAAGTTCATAAAAGAAAACAAAAGAGAAAGGAAAACATTTATCATATAACACTACATGGAAAGTAAAATGAGACGCACTGCATGGAGAAGCTGAAGGCAAATGAGCAAGAGGCAGACAGCGGTAAAGTTAAAGAACAATAACAAAAACTTCAAAACAGATATCTTTCAGAGTGTACAACCAGCGTAAGACAGAGAATGCTGGAGATCCATTACAGTCAATCTTCATTATGGAGATAGCATGTGACTAATTAACAAGATTCCCTGTTATTGCACTCAGATACCTGCATAAGTGTTTAGTCTCCTGCTTTAGATCACACATGGTCTGCACAGTGCAAGAAGTCCATATCACTGGTGAAGATTCAAATGTGGGTATGTCACAAGTTTATATTTTTTGTGAGTTGGCTTCCTAATTTCCAAAATGTCTGAGCAACAACACCTTGTTTGGCAGGCTGGCCGGGAGGTTGAGTAGGGTGACTGTATGTCCCCATTTTTCCCCGGGTGTGCCTCGGCCGTACTGTGGGTATTCCAAAAATGTGCCATATGTCCATTTTATAAAAATCTAGAAATAAGCTTGAGAAAAACATACATAAACAGTTAATATATCTGTAGACCTTATCAGTTATCACAGTTGTAGACACTTATAATGCCCTAAATAATAATAGCTAAATAGCATATTGTTTCATTCATTCTTGGCGGCAATGGTTCAGTTTTTAATACCTTTGTTGAGCCAGTAAAACCTGTTCACCCCATGACCTAAACAAAAGTGGAGGTTTGATGGTTGGGATAAAACTTGCTTGCTTGCGATGTCCCCTTTTCAGTTCAAAATGTTTTGGGGATGTCCCATTTTCAGCTCAATATTATGGTCACCCTAATTCTGGGGGCAGCATTTGGATTATGCAGATCTGGTTTGATTCAGACAGCTTGAATTTTTCAGTGGGATTTTTTAAATTCTCAATGGTAAATTTTGCCTCCCAGATTATGTGCTAGTACCTATTGTAATCTGAGTTGACCTCGGAGCCCAAATCAATTTTTAAATAGCTTCGCCTTGATAGGGTTGGCCCAATGCCATGTAGTGGAATTTGCATGTTTTCACAAGCTGTTCTTTTCCTCCGTACAAGGTGTTCCACTTGTCTGGTCTCGGAGGGAGTAGCGTTCTTAAACTGAGTTTTTGGGCACTCAAAGAGATGGTGTTCAACAGTTTCGTAGTGGTAGTTACATAGCTGGCACTCTGGGGAGTGTTTGTGGCTGTATTCTGTTTAGGTGTCCATTGAGTGGAGTATGTTGCGTTCTAAGTCTGAAGATCTTGGCCTGGTCCCTTCTTGTTTAGATGGTTAATGCTGTCATTAGAATCAGGGCCAGACAAAAGGTTTGGTTGGGATAAACGGCTTGCTTCTTCGCCTTGATGGGGATTCACATACATGAACAACTGGGCTGACAAGTAAGTTTGTTAGCCACTGAGTTATTCTGCTTCCCACATTCAAGATAAGTATGGTGAAGTGGTCAAGCTGTTTGCCTCGCACGCTAAAGATATGTGTTTGTTTCATGAATGCATTGTCTGTTCACAAGTACAATTTTTACGGAGGTCCCTAGAGATTGTGGATGGAGCTATAGAGTTAGTTCTTTCTGCTACTTTCTTGGCAGGCGGCGAGCCATTCTGCGGACAGATACTGAGGAATAAGGAATAGTATCTGGTGTAATGAAGTAAATCCTCTTGAATTTAATTTTAGCTTTAAACATTTCCTGGTTGCCACATCAACAACAGAGATTTGCTGCAGTGCACACACTGCTGACATTGGGAATATTATATAAGTTACTAGGCCTTAATCTCTTCTGTTAATAAAAAAACATTTGTACTAGAATCGAACGAACGAACAAACTTTATTTTCAAAGGGTCACAAATTGGGCATCAGGCCTGTCTTACACTCGGCGCTTCCAGACACCCATCTTTGACACTGCATCTGTCGGAAGAGCCTTTCAATAATTGTGAGAAAGTTCACTAACATTGAAGCTAAAGAGGGATGTAGAGTAGACGTTATTTAATTTCAACTCACGTGCCGCTGTTGTACTGGGAGACAATCTGAGCCCATTCTCTGCCAGATGCAGCGAGTCTGTTGGCTACCATAGTACGTATACCTTCAAACACAGAGGTATATTTGATGTAGACAAGCAGGTCAGAGTTAGAGTTGCCAATGGTTGTCTCTTGTGTAACCTACAGTTTTTCAACAAGAGAGAGTTAAAAAACAAAAAGACTGACAAACTCTTTTAAAAAACACACAAGAAAGTTAAATTTCTGAACCCTGCAGAAATGTGTAGCTAAATTTCATCATCATAAAATTATTGAACCTTTGGATCAGTTTTCAAACCATTCAAAACATAATTCACTAAAGGTGCCGGACTTTTGCTGTCCATGTGAGTTCTCTATAAGTCATCCTTTCAAGAGTGATCTCTCCAAGTCTGGACAACAAATGACTTCTTTAATTCCTTTATTGCAAACCAAGGATTCTGCGTCAGTGAACAGTTCTCCATGATGTAATTCAATGTATGACACCCTTCTCTTCCATATATATCTAAGGAACTAGTCTTCCACCCTGACAGCTTTCCTTTCCTTTCTCTGTGATCTTCTTATACTTTTCATTATTTCCACTGTGATCTTGTTATACTTTTCATTATTTCCACTGTGATCTTGTTATACTTTTCATTATTTTCTCTGTGATCTTGTTATACTTTTCATTATTTCCTCTGTGATCTTGTTATACTTTTTGTTCTTTTCCTTTGTGATCTCATTAAACTGTTCCTTTATCTGTCATCTTGTTTTTCTTTTCCCGTGTGATCTTTAATTTTTATTTCCTTCCTCTGTAATCTAGTTAAACTTTGCAAGATCCACTCTTCTTGATCTGGCTTCACAGTGTCTTTCCACCTTCTTCTAGTTATAACCTTCCTAGCCTTGCATTTGAATGTGTAATACAAAGGGATGTTTTATCTCTAGGATAAACTGCCTTAATTTGACACTATTGAATGTTAAATCAGGAATCGACATCACAGCACTCTGGACATCTCCACATGTGCTTTGTCCCCATCTTCAGCAGCAAGCAAAGATAATTAATTAATTTGACATAGAGTAGCTATCTTAATGTAAAATGTGTATTAAAAAAAAAACAAATGCTAGGCAATTTAAACAATTTTGACACTTCCTGTCAGGAGAAAATCTTTACTGGTCTAGCAAAAATGTTATCTTTATATTAAGACATACCAACAGAAAATTAATAAAACTACTGGCGCGATGCCTGTTGTTGCAATATTGGTGGTGCCCGAATGTGATTAAAATTGATAGCGTGGTCAACTGCTGACCTGTTGGTGACTTTTGCTACCATCCACGATGAACTGCATTTTTAATGTCAGATTGTTTGTGTTAGCACTTCAGATGGCTACCGTATCCCTTAATGCATGTGTATGCTAGATATGCTGAGACAGCAGTCTGTCAATCTTTCCACAAGGGACTGTGATAAACATTCTGTGTGTTTTTTGTTGGCAAAGGAGTGGAGCAACTATGGGGTGACCCGTTTGCTATGAAGCTGAAACTAAGACTACCAGACTAATAAAACTACTCTGGCCTTCTGCTGCAAACAGTGAGTGTAACAAATATGCATTTAAGTAAACTTACCAAGCCTGAAGAAATTGCATAAAAATCATCTCCAGATGAAAGAGAACCAGGGTATGATGAGAATGTCATGGTGTTTCCAGCAATCAGATCTAACAGAAAATATTGAACTTGAATGAAACAAATCACCTTCTTACTAGGAATTATACAAACAAAAAAACAAATATAAGCTCAAATTTGTCAGACAGAGAGAGGAAAGGATTAACAATCTATGTAACCATGGCAATCAATTTAAACATTTTGAGCTAACTAAATTTGTATCTTACTATCATAAAGATGAACCTCTGCAGATTCTCATTTGTCATGGCCCACCACAAAGGTGAACCTCTGCAGATTTTCATTTGTCATGGCCCACCACAAAGATGAACCTCTGCAGATTCTCATTTGTCATGGCCCACCACAAAGATGAACCTCTGCAGATTCTCATTTGTCATGGCCCACCACAAAGATGAACCTCTGCAGATTCTCATTTGTCATGGCCCACCACAAAGATGAACCTCTGCAGATTCTCATTTGTCATGGCCCACCATAAAGATGAACCTCTGCAGATTCTCATTTGTCATGGCCCACAACAAAGATGAACCTCTGCAGATTCTCATTTGTCATGGCCCACCACAAAGATGAACCTCTGCAGATTCTCATTTGTCATGGCCCACCACAAAGATGAACCTCTGCAGATTCTCATTTGTCATGGCGCACCATGAAGGTGAACCCTTGCAGATTTTCATTTGTCATGGCCCACCAAGAAGATGAACCTCTGCAGATTTTAATTTGTCATGGCCCACCACAAAGACGAACCTTTGCAGATTCTCATTTGTCATGGCGCACCATGAAGATGAAGCTCTACAGATTTCCACTTGCCATGGTCCACCATGAAGATGAACCTCTGCAGATTCTCATTTGTCATAGCCCACCATGAAGATGAACCTTTGCAGATTCTCATTTGTCATGGCCCACCTTTGCAGATTTTCATTTGTCATGGCCCACCACAAAGATGAACCTCTGCAGATTTTCATTTGTCATGGATTACCATAAAGATGAACCTCTGCAGATTTTCATTTGTTACAGCCCACCATGAAGGTGAAGCTCTACCAATTTCCACTTGCCATAGTCCACCATGAAGGTGAACCTTTGCAGATTCTCATTTGTCATAGCCCACCATGAAGATGAACCTTTGCAGATTCTCATTTGTCATGGCCCACCATGAGGATTTCTAAACTGAGTGGCAAGGAAGGTGGGGGTGGAAATAATTCTTCTTTTTCCCTGCAGTCTCAGAATCATTCTGTAACATTAAAAAAAAAATTTTTTTAATCCCAGATTTTCTACTTCAGCAATTGCAAACTGGAACATGTCTCAAAAAGACAGGTAGGATAATTTTTTAATTATTTCATTAAAAAAGACAAATAATTTATTACATAGTGTAAGCTAAATTATCAACCTAATCACCAATTTATTTTTCTGTTAAAAAAAAATCCCATATGAAAAATGAATACTTCTGTTGTAAATCACCAAAAACAACCCGGTGACACAAAGTCACCATGCAGATATCCACCATTGCAGTCTAACATTACGGCATGTTTTCATGTATTTTCATAAATCAGGGGGGATCATAATGAAAAAGTAACCAATAGGACAACAAACTTCTTGTTTACTAATTATATTTACAAATAAACTCACAGAGACAAATATTGCAAGAAAGGACAAAAACAAACCATAATTAGCCTATCTGTTCATTACTCACTGTCTAACCCTTCTGCAAGATGAAGTTCAAAGTTGTAGCGCTTCAGTATCCTAAGCATGGAAGGGAGATCATTCCAGGTGTCCTGTGCCACATACAGGTCGGAGAAATCAGGCAGCAACCTAATTAAAGCTGAGCAGTGACCTGTTCCCGTGAACAAGGGGTCCTTCCGGTTTAATGGTTTCTTCTCTGAGGGAAACAACTGGTTCAGATCTTCTAGATCACCCCCGACCTGCCATAAACTGTTTCAGAGGAATGAAGAAAACAAAACAATCAGCATCATAATAAGTAAGAGGATGAAAATGGCTTGGCCACCTAATGAGAATGAATCCTGATATACCTGCCAAAACAGGTCTCATATGGATAGCAGAGGAAAAGATAAAGAAGGGGCGTCCAAAAACAACATGGAGACGAACGATGAAAAGTGACCTGAGTGCGGCATCTCTGACATGGAGAACTGTAATGGAGATTGCATAGGCCAGGAAAGCATGGAAAGTCCTCTCTGAAGCCTCACGTGCCACTAGGCATAAAGAGAATTGGTGACTGATGATCATAAGTAAATGGTCATCACCATCATCATTGTGTAACATTTCTGTCCTTTGGATGGTTCTGAAGCTTCCTGATCAATCATTACATAGTTGTCTGTCTTGTGCCATTCTCTTTTTTTCTTCTTCTTCTCTCTTTTCTTTTTCCTCTCCCTTTTCTTCTGTTCTTATTCTTCTTCTTCTGTTTCTTCTTCTTTTAGAGGAAAATCAAGACGGACATATAATTAAACCATTTGTACCATCACAACTGCGACTGGCTGCTGAAGATGGGGATGCTGCATTTATGGGACTGTCCCTAATGCTGTGATGTCAGTTCTCAACTCAACTTATCTTCGTTTTCACATTTTATTTCTATTTTTTTTTCCTACTTTCTACCCTAAAAAAGGGGGTTGGCATTTTATGTTGTAGTTAACAGCTAGGCTTTGATAACTATGCCTTTCAAGACCAACACATCCAGTTTCAGTCAACCTGTAATTAGTCATCATTTACGCATGCATTTAGGGAGCAATGAGGCCATTCTTCCCCCCCCCTCCCACCAAAATGGGGCCCCAGAACCCATAATGCAGCAGTTCTCAACCTGTGGGTTGCCACCCCTTTTTGGGTCGAAGAATTCTTTCACAGGGGTCGCCTAAGGCCATCGGAAAACAAATTGATTGAAGTTATGAAGTAGTAAGGAAAATAATTATTCTATGTTTGGGGGTCCCCACAGCATTATGAACTGAATTAAAGGGTTGCGGCATTAAGAATATTGAGAGCGACTGCCATAATGGGACCATTCTCTTGTAAATCTATGTATGTTCATATTAACAGGTCTGTGCTGGCCTATATTGCAAGTGTTGTTCTTGGTTTCCTTGTCTTCTGTTCCTTAGTGCTGTGAACAATACAACTAGTTACTTCAAAGCCCCCCTCTGGCAGTAATCGGGCGCTCTAATATAACCTAAAGGTTGAACAGGGTTTCTGGGATTTGTGCCTGGGTGATTCTCATCAAAATAGTGGCACTTTGTATCACCAGGTGTTTATCACTCGTTGTACGTTCCTGGTGGGGTTGTAAAAGTAAGTAAAAAATAAAGTAAAGATCCCTTATTACGCCTTAGAAGCGCATCGGGTATATGGGCAGAGCGTCCCATATTTTTACAGACCAATCGGCACTGGATGGGTAATGTGGTCAGCATTACGCCGACCGTCTTTACTTTCCCAGGACAAGAAACCCCTGGTGCCCATTTTAGGCTGGGTTGACCTGCGACGCCTCATACTACGATAAAAATCCACGCAGCCAGCAGTGGGTTTAGATCGCGGTACGTTGGATCACGAGTCGGACTCGCAACGCCTAAGCCAGGGACTGGTGGGGTCGAACGACACATATTAGCACTATGATCCAGGGTTATCTTCATAGTGTTTTTTTCTTGTCATTTTCTTTATTTAAGTAACACTAACAACAAAACAACAACACATATTTTAGCCACTTTTATCAAATCCTGTTTTTACTGACATTCTTCATCTTCGTATTCATGGCCTGTAAACGCCAGTGGAAATATCTGGTTGTTCGTCCACCCCTGGATTACAATCTCGTTCCAGAACCTGAGTGTTGCATGCACATCCGCTTTACATATCTGAAATATTTTCATGCAGACCATTGGTTTCTTTGCCTCTCAGACAGATGCACTCCGACTATGAAGGAAGCCACAAATTAGTTGACTCTTACGACATGCTTGTTGGGAAGACGGTGGATCTATTCTTGTTTTCCCCAAATGGGGTCCCAGAATCCACATGGGAAGCCTCATTCTTCTGAAGGGTGGCTTTTATTTGAATAACTAGGGCACTCATTATTCTATCAGTCACTTAACTCTCTCAATACCAGACTTCTTTTGTCGTCACACCGGTTTCAAGTTATAATCTAGTGTTGTGATTTTCTGTATTTGTCTTGCACTTCTTAAATGGTTTCTGTCTTTTTTTTTCCTCCTTTTTTTTTTTCAAGATTTAGCTCCACTGAATATCCATCTCTTTCATGGTCTTCCTCTTGCCTTCTGCTCAGACATTCATCTGTAGAAGGTTTTATACTAGATGACCAAACCACTTCAATCTCTTGTCTCTCGTTGTAATTCAGGCACAGTCTTGTCCAACCTTCGCTCTGATGCTAGTATTCATTACCCTGTCTTTTCCTGTGTTGTTGGTGATCTTATGGAGACAGTGCATTTCACATGTAATTATCTTCTGTTCCTGCAACCAACGTACTGTCCATGTTTGGCACTGACTGCATAGAGTTGTGATGAAAATGTTATTCATGATTTTCTGTTTTGCTGGAAGGCAGACATCGTGATGTCTCAGCTGCAGGGCCAGCTGAAAGGTAACATAATCTGCCATCTGACCTCTAGCTTTCTATCTCTCCATCAAGTGCCATCTTGTGAAAATATGCTAGTTGTGTATTAGATATTATTATCTGCAAAAAAAGCAGTAGCAAACAATACAGCATACATTTACTGGTTTATCTCAACCAGCCAACCTGTCTACCTGTTCATTTCTCCACAAACCCGCATGACTGATAAAAGTCAAAGGACGCTAACTATGCAGGACCTCTGCAGCGATGCTTGCAATTTTGAATGGAGAATGCTTTTCCGCACCTTTCTCAGCATGCTTTATAAAATGCTATGTTAGATAAATTGAGTGAAAATATCTAGTACGTGAACCTGCCAGTGACTAATAGTAAGGCTGTACTTACTAGACTCCCATGACATCAATGTTTGTGTTAAGGACCCCAGGATAATTAGAATAGCCATCTTGTAAACCTGCCATTTGAAGCAGGTATAACTGGACCTGTATTTCGTAGATAAAGACTAGTATTAATAGACAACAAATGTATGCAGTGTGTTTGGTCCTCTTGCCAGGAAGATTAAAAAAGGATATAAAGGTAATGTGCATACTGCAACAACAATAATTATTTCTTTCTTCTTCTTCTTAGTGTTCACTGACTGGAAACTCTGGCAGAAACTTCCAGAGTGGCATGCTTCACTGCGGAGGACAAGGGTGAGGAGTATTGTCTGAATTCATTGTCTGGATTTGTTCACCGGGAGACGCTGGTGTGTTGGAAAATGAACATGCGGACAGACTGGCTGGCTCTGCACAACTTGGTGGAATACTGATGCATGATAAGGCAGACGTGGTTAGTGCCTTGTGGAGGAGCAGATGGATCACCACAGTCTGGTGAGATTGATGCAGCGGGGAGTGACGAGAGGTTCTGGCAGATGCTCGGGGCTTAGAGTAAAGGCAAGACGGATGTTTAATCAGAATGCTACTGGCACCATTAGTATCGGAACTCTTCACTGGCTGCTGAGGATGGGGACGGAGTACTTATCGGAATGCCCCGAGTGCTGTGATGTCGGTTCTTGAATCATCTCAACTCAATTCAAGAAAGGCAACAAATAAGAAAACTGTCTGGACAACCGTTAGTCTCAATAGTGATAAGACAAAGAAAATAACAAAATTTTGGGCAAATCCTGAGCAAAATCAAAGAATCAACATACAGGTACGAAAATAGGATACAAATGGAATGAGGAAACAAGGGCGTCTAAAAGAAAACTTCAACTCTTTGAGTCCCAGTGGGTTTAGCATCAGAGACCCAAGGGGTAGTCACAAGAGATGTAAAAATCGGCGCACCTTGCATTCATTGGCCCTCTAGGCGGGAACCTATGATGGTATGATGCATTCTTTGGGACTCAAAGAGTTAAGGCGAACCTCGCTGAGAGAGGTAGATGATGGTGGGCTACATTCCATTATGACATCAAAAGGATTGCACATGACAGAACAGAATGGAGGACCAGACGGCAAGCCAGGTGTGATGTACAACGGCAAGAAAGAATGACGACGATGTTTTTTGTTTTATATATAAACAATAATTTTTTTGGTTCTCTGTGACTTCTTTTTCTTCTTGTCTTCCACCTTGTACCTCATTGAAGTGTCAGGGGATGTAACATTCGTTGATGAGCTATGTCAAGAGCACTATTAAGACTGATGTTTATTTCTGTAAGGCTGTTCTTAATGCCATCACTGCATCTTTTCCGATGTCTTCCGCTTGTTCTATACCCGTTGTAACATTTTAGTGTGGCTCGCCGTGGCAGATAGTACCAGAGCATTCTTGTCAGGTGTCCAAACCACTTCATTTGTTGTTCCTTGATGACTTGTAAGACTGGCTTTATTCCTAGCATTCGTCTGATTTTGTGATTTCATTTTCTTTTTTTTCATTGAAACTCCTGCAGCTTTTCTCTGTTGTCACAATTTTACGTTCATTGGAGGATGTAAGTGTCCATGTTTGGCACTGATAGCATAGTGTTGGCCAAAAAAATAGTTCTGATACGATTTACTTCTATGTGGCTAAATAGATAAACTATAGTCCCAGATTCTGTAAGAAATGAGTTTAATTCTGTTCTATTGTTTTTTTTATAAGTTCAGTTTGTATGGACATTCTTGGGTACCATCACTGCCACAATCTGTGTGCTTTGTTTAATGCTCTCAACAAGCAGCCAAGCATTTTGCATATAAACTCTGGCTGGAAGTTCAAGTTGTTTGTCCACTTCTGGACTCTAAGCCTCTTCCAAATTATGAGTATCGCATGCACATTCATTTTACAGATCTAATTCATTTTTATGCAGCAGACTTTTAGTTCCTTGCCTCTCAGACAGACTCACTTTGATTTTTAAGGAAGCCCCCAGTTAGCCAACTCTTATCTTTCGAGTAGGCGGTGGGTCTATTCTTGTTTTCTACAAATTAGGGCACTCAGAACCCACACAGGCTGAAATTTAAGGGGTAAAAACGCAGTGCAATGAAGTCAATAAACTCCCTTCAAACCTTTTTTTTTTAATAAATAAACATAATGAATGTGTCATCTGGAACACTTAGCTATAATCTTATACATGAGTCTATTAGGTAATCATTCTGTTGCAATACAACACAGCACTTAATAATTACATTCAGTCACATTTCAAATGATATAAGAAATTAAAAAAACAGCATCTTATGCTATTTAACACAATTCTTTCAGTCTCAAACAACATATGCTGTGTTACTGACTATTCCTTACATGTCTCAGTACATCACATTAAGTTTCTTCTTATATTTAAGTTTTGGTCAGAGTATGCTAAATAAATCTGGCAAGCACAGGGCTATCATTCAGTCACTTTTCATCCCCACAACACAACTGGTTAAAGTTTGCATGACAATATTTGATGAAAAAAATAATTTCTATGGGACCAAAACAATTAGGTACCAAGTGAGTTTGACAGCAGACACCCAAGTGAAGTAATTACTTGTTTTTAAAATCACAAGAGTGCTACTTTCGAGGAAACTAAGTACTTAGAGAAAGTAAGGGCCATATATGCAAAATTTCTTCAGTATCTAAGAACTGGCAAAATTTAAAACATGAGAGATCACACGTCATACACTGCTTAGGGCAGAAAAGTTATTAAACAATATTAATATTTCAAACCAGCATAATATCAATCCAAGAAAACTTATATAATACTAATACAAGAAAATGCACAGAATACCACAACAAGAAAAACATACATGATACTAAAACAAACTTACATGATACCAGTACAAGAAAACTTAAATGATACTGATGAAACTTACATGATACGAATAAAAGTCAACTACAAGGAAACTTATATGATGCTAACACAACAAAACTTAAATGATATTAATACAAATTAACTTACATGATATCAATACAAGAAAACACACAAGTTAGAAATGGAAGAAAGCTTACATGATATAAATTTAAGAAATTTTATATCATACCAATACCAAAAAAATTAAATCATACTAATATAAGAAAACTTATATCATACCAATACAAGAAAACTTATATGATACTAATATAATAAAACTTAAATGATAATAATATGAATAACTTACATAAAACCAATACAAAAAACTTACACTATCGTGAAACAAATGTGAATAAACTTGCAAGATACTAACTCAGTAAGACTTACATGATACCAATAGGGGCTTCCTCCTGGCACATTATCAGTGATCTGCTGCTGCATCCATTTGAAGTTATTTTCAAGGTAAGCCTGCAACTGCTTGCACTGCCAAGAGACAGGCTCAGAACAGAAACCGGCAAGAGTGTTGGTCCAATGCATGGACATCAGGGACCTGTATGATGAAGATTTGATGTTAGTACTTAAACTCTTTCTGTCCCAAACAACGCACCATGTAGGATTAGCTTCTGACACACTATATCAAGAAATGCATTATATTTTAAAAGACAATGTACTTTTGGTCTGAACATACTGAAGAAATCTGGCACAGTATGTGTCTGTTTGAAAGTAATATTTTTCACTCTCCTCCCCCACCCCACACCCCCCAAGTTAGTCAACATCCCTCTTGGACAACTGCAGAAAAATCTTCTGAGACAAAAGAGTCAAAATCTGAGGGCTGTTATACAGGTACAAATCCCTATCTTGGCAGATTTAACTGTGGTTCTCACTATGAAATGTTATAGGAAGTAAAGGGGACCAGTGAGAAAACAGACCATATCACCTTAAAAGTAACAACTGGTTTATACAATATGAAGCTAGCAGCATATCCTAAACACACCAAGGCATGAAAATTGGTCCTTTACTTTTACTTTAGAGCCATAATCTACACACAGAATAAAAAAAGAATGAAGGAATCAAGAATTGACATCATTGCACACGAGAAACTCCCACAAATGCTTCTCTGAAACCATTTTGTGTGCCAGTGCTTCCATCGATACATCTCGACGACATAATGGGTGAAGGGTTAAGTTATTTACATGCTCTTTCAACTTCCTCTGATGCCAACAAAGAGTTTCCATACTTCTTTTTGTTGATCCAAGTGACGTAAAATGTGTTGTGCCTGTTTACTCCATCGAGCATTTACTTATCAGGTTAAAATCCCATAATCATGGTGCCTTTTGCAGCTTGGCTAAAAGTTTCTTCCACCTGCAGACAAAAAAATTTTCTGGACCTTCTGATCACTCCCAGCCGAAACATTCTCTCCAGACAATGGATGCTCTGTCAGTTCTGTTGCACTGTTTACTTGATGCCAGAGAGCCTTCACCATATCAGCTTTATCGTAAAGTAGCTCATAGGGCAGCAGCAGCTAACCTATCAGCCTGCTGGTTATCACACACACCTGAATATCTTGGGCAAAAAATCCTAGATATACTTTTTATCGGAGTCTTATCAAGTGATGCAAGCCACTCTGAGTGCTAGAAACCAGTTTCAAACACAGCACTCGGGGCATTTCCATGCATGCTCTGTCCTTATCTTCAGCAGCCAGCACAGAGTTCCAATACTGATTGTACCGGTCACAATCTGGTAATATGTCTGTCTTTTCAAACACAGTTAGCAAATTATATGCTTTTATTATGTAATTATTTGACTGTTGAAGCTAACTAACTATTCTTCAAAATACCATCTTCCACTTACCGTGTGATGTGACCCTCAACAAATCCGGCAGCATATATTTGTTGACTATCAGAGTACTTTCCATTTTCTCCAGCTTGAGTTGAAACATCCAACTTGGCCCATCTTATCATCAAAAATTCAGCAATACAAGATTATTACTGTACATGGTAAATATAGAGTAAATGAATTCAAACATTAAAATTTAATAGATTAACATACATTCTCATAATTGCTGTTTTTATTTTTTACTAATTTAAAAAGTATTATAGTACAATGGACAGGACGGTGTTAAAGATGTATCATGCTCCGGTGCAGTCATTTATGTAATGCCTTTTCTTCCCTCAGCTAAACTTCAGCATCACTTTTACCATACTATTTTAATGACAAAACGCTAATCTAATGTAGGTTTCATAGTGATATATGATAGTCAAAATATAAACAATATATTACTTCTGTTTATATTTTCTATTTATAACCTCCTTATGTTGCTGCTGACACATAAGGCATTTACAGGTGGTCTCCATAGCCGATCTGCTGCTTTCCTGCCTATTGTAATCCACATCCTTTTGCATTCCTTCATTTTCCTTTCTACTGTCCTTCTCCAGGTTTTCTTTGATCATCCACATCATTTTTTTTTTCTGTCTGCCGTCCATTGGAGAGCTGTCTTTGCCAAAGTGTCATAAAGTATTCTGCAAACATACCCAATCCATCTCCATCTTCTTCCTTTGATAGCAATTACCAGTGATGAATATTTTGCTTTCCTCCACATGTCTTAATTTGTGATCTTGTTCGGCCAAAATATTCACTGGATTCTCTACAGACATTTTTTTTTTAAAGTCTCTACTCTGTGTGTAATCCCTGTTGTCATTTTTCTAACACTTACTGTTGTATATTGTATTGCTAAAATGTTGCTCTTGTATAATCTCAGTTTTGTCTTCACACAGATCCCTTTGACTTCCATTTATTGTTAAGCATGGGAAATGCTTGGTTTGCTTTGTTTGATGTTACATACTTTTCAGGATTCCTTTTTCTATAGCTTTATCGTTTAACTCTTTGAGTCCCAGAGGGTTTAGCATCACAGGCCCAAGGGATAGTCAAGAGAGATGTAAAATCGGTGTATCGTGCGCTCACTGTGCTTCTAGGCAGTAACCTATGAGCGTATGATGCGTTCCTTGGGACTCAAAGAGTTAAGATAACGGTTCTGTTTTCTGTTTATTTCTCTTTACTTTAGTTTTAGCAGTATTTATCTTGAGTCCTATCTTCAGGACCACTGTTGAAAGTCTTTCAAGTTTTTTCTCAGCATCCACATAAAGGCTTGATATACCAAATAATGACATGATAAAATTCTGCAGTTATCTGCATAATCCAAATTTTCTCAAAACTGAGGTGAGCGACCATATGATACCTCTGTTTCCCTTTCTTGTAACTTTCTTTATCAGCTGGTCAATGGCCAGGTTGAACAGACAAAAGGTGACAGTGTGCATTCTAAATCCTGCAACAAGGGCACTTTCTATTGTATGATTACAGGAGACTACATTGCACTGGAACTCTTAGTAAAATGCTTTTATCTCATTTACTATTTTCTGTGGTATGCCATTGTGACGCAAAATCTAAGAAGACCAAATAAACTGCACTATTCCATCAAATATTTTGTTTATTTATTTTATGCAGCACGAAAATATGCTCAATGCATGATTTTATCTTTCTTAAACCATCTTGTTTTTGCCTAATTTTACTGTCTACGAGACATTCTCTTAAGAATAATCCAGGTGAATTTTTGTATTTCTCACTAACAGTGGTGTGATACCTCTCCATTTATTGCAATTTCTTGAAATTGACTTTCTTTTATAGTTTGATCATGGAACCATTTTTTCATTCCTCTGGAATTTCTTGCTTTCTCCAGGTTTTCTTTAAAATTGTTTACAGTATTTGTTCCTGACTCCTCCACTTTCAAACATTTATACTTTGCTGCCCCCTAAATGCTGCCACTCTGTGTGCAGCTGCACACAAAGTAGCATGATGGCTAGAATGCTTGCTAGCTGGAGATCACAGGTTCCAATCCTTGAGACAGAACTATTTTCAACTGACAGGGCCAGAAAGTTGACCCTGCCTAAAATGGGCACCATGATATGCAATGGGTTCACCAAGTACTTGTTGCTATACAAAAGTTGATGAGGAGGCTAGTATTAAGGTATATAGAAATGAGTTAGTAATCTACTAATCAGTAGTGCATTCATGATAGGGTAGTACCTCAGTACTTTTAGAACATACCCTGCCTCACAAATGACATTTACCTTTCAAATTTATATTCTTTACCCCAGTTTAGAAGGGACTCTCAACCAAGTTTCATCCTTTGCTATTGCGTGCTGTCAGCTCATCCAAATGCTCGCCTCATTTAGCTTGTGCTTTTCTTCCCCCTTTATAAGGAGCTGTATGCTGCCATAGTTTTGCACTATCTGCTCCTTATGGCCTAGCACCTCTGAATCTAGTATGCTTTTCTGTTAGGATGGTCTCCCTTAGTCCATGGTAAACCAAGATCTATCCAACGGACAATATAGATCCTAAATAATTTGATGTCTCTAGCTAACGCGGTCTATCTGCTCAGTGTATATCAGGGTATATTTTTAAACGTGATCATTCAGATCCATCATTCGGAGGAGAACTGAAAAATGTTTTACAAAGGTGGAGCAATCTAACCTTCACTTTTACCCTCAAAGTGGAGAGCAAAGGTGCTTCTCTTTGTCTGTTCTCTACCCTTTAACCTGACTGGCTTGGGAAACACCACTGGTATCATCATCCTAAGCCTCAGAGTCATTAACTCTTTCAGTCCCAGAGGGTTTAGCATCGCAGGCCCAAATGGTAATAAACAGAGACATAAAATTGGAGCAGCATGCATTCACTGATCTTCTAGGTAGGAACCTATGAACATGCGATGTCTTCCTTGGGACTCAAAGAGTTGAAAGAAACTGCAGTTTAATTCATTTAGTACAAAGCAGCTCACTATGGGTTTGTTGGTTTAAGCTGACATGAAATACTTTTCTATTTTCATTTTCTGAATTTGTAACCCAAAAAAAAAACCTAATTGTTATGCTAAACCCACTCTGTTCTAATAGCTACTTAACCCCCCCCCCCCCCTTTTTTTTTAAACTATATAGTATTATCTAAAAAAAATCTAAATATGTAATTTCTCAGTCAGACCAAGTTAAAGTAGCAGCTTCTGAGAACAATAAATCATATCAAACTTAAAATATCATCTGTTTAGTTAGTTATGAAATAGTTTAAATAAAAATTGTTGAAAGAATCAGAAAAAAATTATTGTTGTGAAAGTCAGCTTTAAAGTTTCACTGTTTCATTTTTATTTGAAACAGAACACTACACTCACTTTAACTTTATTACTTTTAATGGCTATCCTCTGAATAACGGTCCCAAATTATGGAGGCTGAAAATACACCTAACAGGGCCTCAGTCACATGTAAATTGCGGACCTCTTCCAGCGACTACACAGCATACCGTGAAAAAGCTTCCGCTGAGTTAAATTCCCTGCCGAGAGTATTTCCCGAGCCGCTCGGAGTGGGGCTAAACTAGATGGCTGGGACTCACGAGCAGCAGCTACAGTATCTCATCCAACTTCCTCCATTTTATTTGCTCATGTGTCCCATCCATCTAGTTTAGCCCCGCTTTGAGCGGCGCGGGAGATACTCTTGGCGGTATGCTGTGTAGTCGCCGAAAGAGGTCCGCAATTTACATGTGACTGAGGCCCTGTTAGGGTATATTTTCGGCCTCCATAATTTGGGACCGATATTCGAAGGATAGACCTTTTAACTTTAGTTTTAGACTTACCCAGTTGCATTAATGGTGTTGTCAAATGAAGCAACAGCAACAAAATCCGAGACTGACGAGTTCACAATTTGAAACGTCTGCGCTTTTTCGTTGTAGACAACCCATAATTTTGTCACTGCTGCACTGCTAAAATGCAATGATGACAATACTGTCAATACAAGGATGGAGAATACCGTTACGGTGCTATGTATCGCCATTTTACCAAAGTCATATGACATGGGAGGAGAGTCATGTGACTTTGTTAGTCATGTGATCATATCAGCCAGAACTACGTGTTGCGCCGATCTTTCCTATCGTCTTTATCCCTTTGGATTAAATACCGCCTAAAAAACTCTAGCCCTTTCTCCTTGTTCTCCTTGTCACTTGCCAATATTTTACCTCCTGAATACCTAATATTTGGCATTTAATGGATGGTACTTTTTTAAAATTCGTTTGGCGGTGCAAATTCCAGAATTTATGTAGTGTTCTCTCTCCCGCTACGTCTGTCACAAAATTTTCCCAAATTCTTTCCTTGGCCTCCTTGGCACAGAATTTAAATGCATTACCCAGGTTTTGTTTATCTTGATGTTTGCGTTCAATATCTTCATAATTTGCAGGTCTTAGTTTTCATGCTTGTTGTCATGCATTTGTAAGCAATGTTTTTTGCTTTCCATGTCTTTTCCACCTGCTCGTTCAACCAGGGTGGTTGCACGCATGCTGTTTTTCGTAACATTCGTAACGAATGCAATGTACCAAGCTGATCATTATTAGCTGTATATTTGAACGTGTGTATCGTGGTTTAATTTGATCAACAGTCTGTCCCTTTGGGATGAGAACAACACACGGCAGATGGTCACTTTCTTGCACCCCAAGAACATCCCAGCGCACTGTGTGTGCATCAGTACTGGACGTTAAACCTAGATCGATCACTCCTTCCGAGTCTCCGGCTCTCTCTGTTAATCTTGTAGAACGACGATCGATTAAAACAGTGAAGCTAGTGCTTAGTAGGGCCTGACTCAGTGCAATTCCCTGTCTGTTTTCTGTCTGATTTTCCGACTTTTTTGACCGAGCGTTATAATCACCAGCTATTAAACATTTTCCTTCATACTCCCTTAAATCTGCTAAGAATTTTCATGCACCTTCATTGGGAAGTTGTTCCCCATGCGCGTATAAGTTGAATATGTACCAGTCGTGGTGATCTAGGGAAAGAATGAATCATTGAACCTCGAGCATTTCACTATTATAAGCATGTGTATCTAGACATCGATGTTAGATCCCGTGTTTGACATACATTGTTAAACCTTGGTTTGTGTTTCCATAGGGATCACTGTAGCCGTCATATCCTGGACAGTTGATGATCGATTGATCTTCTATTCTGCTCTCCTGGATCATGAGGATATCAAAGTCATTGACTATTTTCTGCAGTGGCTCTGCTTGTTGCTTTGCTCTTCGACAGTTCCAATATCCAACACGAATGAACTTGAGAGATAATCTGTCTTTCTTCTAGTCCTCCTGTTACCAGCTATTTTCTTTCTTTCCTTCCTCATTCTCTCGTCTCCTTCTTCTACTCCTACCATCATTAACTGCGACATTAGCTGTTTTTTTTTCCGAAGATTCTGTAAAGAAAATTGATTCCATGGTTGTATAAAGTTTATGTGGAAGTTAATAAACGGTCACTCCAGCCGTACCCTTACTCTGTGCTGGGGAAGGAACATTACGACATTACATACAACAGCCAAGAGTCGTCCCCACAACGACCTGACTGTCTTCGTTAACGACAGTACACTCAACAGCCATGCAGTTCTTTGGCACGATGGAAACACTTTGAACTTGGGTTTCGGACTGCCGACTCCCTACAAGAAGATATATTTTACATCGGTGTAACGTGGAACATGATACTGATTTACTCTACATTAGCCATCAACCAGTATAAGTCCCGTTCCCTTGGACACCTAGACGCCATTTAATGCAGCAACATTTGTTCTGACGCGGGCGGGTTCGCGAATGGAAGAAGAAATAATTACAGACATTCGGAGTTCTCTTTTTACAAATAGTTCCCCCTTCACCTCATCAGGCTACACACACAGAAAGGTAGTTATGTCGTACAGGGGCGACACCGTGCTGATGGGCGTTACGTCCCTGGCCCCTTCCCCAGCATGAGGGCACCACTGGGGTGGCAGTTAATAAACCCTCACTATTTTTTTAAAATTAAATATGGTAGACAATTTTGATAAACTCGATCCTCACCAGAGCTACGGATTTCGTGCGTCTGTGCTGAGATCCGATGCAGCAGCATCTACAAGGTACAGAAGGAGAAGAAGACAACATGACAGAAAACGGCGCAATAGACGGGCTGGTGCACGCAAAAACCAATCTAAATCAGAACGCCTTAGCAAGGGAAATCTCCGCATTCTTTGCTGGAACTGCAGGAGTGTTCGACAGAGAGGCCCAATCTTAGAGAAACTGATATATGTTGCTGATGTAATCGCACTTCAGGAGACCAGGCTGAATACAGAAGAATCTCTGAATGTCTCAGGCTTCCAAACGTGCTACAACAGCAAACACCTAGGCCAAGCGATCCTGGTCAGGCGCGGAATAACATCCTCAGTTGTAGACACGAGTGCATGGAACAACAGCGACATTCAGGTCCAGGCCGTAAAGGTAAACGGGAGTAAACCTTTCACTCTAATCAACATCTATGTCTGTAATGATAAAGTTGACAAAGAAAAGTGCACAATATTAAGTGACATGTGCTAGCAGATAACCACCGACATCATTATGTGTGGGGATTTCAACGCCAAAGGTCGTCCATGGGGCAATCCGACGGTCAATAAACAGGGCGAGGCATTGGAGGAAGCACTAACAGACACGGATTTAATCTGCTTGAATGATGGGAGACCCATCTGAATCCCCGACAGAGAAGGTGATACTGACAGTGCCCTTGATCTCACGCTGGTCTGAGTGCACTCTGCCAGTGGGGTGTACTGGGACATCATGGAAGCGACCACCTTCCATGTTGGATTCTGGTCAAACAAACAATCTGCACAAGGTATCAGAGACCAGCCACTGCTTTTCAGTACGCTGCACATCAGCCTAATGTAATTGGGCGTCTGCGAGACAGGTCACGCAGAACACCGGAAAAGAAGAAAGCTATCTTTCAACAGCCCCCGTGGTGGACACCTGAAGTCGCAGAAGCCTGGACAGAGAAACGAGGTGCCACCAAAGACTGGGAGAAATGCAGAAAGTCTTCGAATTTTACTGAGACGCAGAAACAAGACATTAAACACAAAAAAGACAGACTCACTGAACATTTTAAACAACTCGCAAAGGAGTCTAAGCACACAATGTGGGAACATTTTTGCGAAGAAATAGGTTATGAAAAATCACTCAAAAAATTCTGGCGGCTCCACCAAAAGATGAACGGAGGCAAACAAACCTCTGTTATGCCCGAGCTAAAGATGGACAACGGGGTGGTGTTACAATCGGATAAAGACAAGGGCGAGGCTATCCTGCACAGATTTCTTCTGCAGACGGAAAAGAAAGATAGGGAAGAGAGGGAGCAGATGAAACAGAGTTTACATGATATCCAGATGGCTGAAATGGAGGAAGTTGATGATACAGTATACATCTCAACGGACTGCGTCAGAGCAACACTGAAGACCTGTCCGGACACAGCTCCAGGGCCTGATGGCATTAGATACAGCGACTTCAAAAGCCTAGAGGCGACAGATATTGATGAACTATCAACGATTTTTAACAACACCATGAAAACTGGCATTATTCCTGATGACTGGCTCCACAGCTACCTCAGACCGGTTCCTAAGCCAGGAAAAGACCACACGAGAATAAATGGCTACAGAATCATCACACTCCAGAACACTGTAGGAAAACTCATGGAAAAAATCGTTGCCAGAACGTTGACCCAAATATTGGAGTCGGGTGGCCTATTCCCCGCTACACTAGGTGGGTACCGACCAGGAAGAGATACATGGTGCAATGTTGCAGTATTTGCCTACGACACATATGAGGGTTTCCAGGAGGAAATAGAAACAGCTGCAGCCGCTATTGACTTAGAAGATGCGTACAACAGCGTCCCATACAATATGCTCATCAGACTGCTGTTGGATATGCAGATAGAAACAAATTTGGTCAACTGGATCGCAGCAGCGCTATTTGAAAGAACAGTGTCGCTTCGATGTGGTGAATGGGCATCCGAACCTCAACGCGTCCTAATGGGTCTGCCCCAGGGATCACCAATGTCGCCTGTGCTCTTCAATGTGTACACAGCAGGAGTCACGAGTGCACAACGCCTAGGCCTAGGCAGAACAATGTCGTATGCAGATGATATCCTTGTTTACCGTCGAGGTAAAAACAGGCAGGCAATTACAACCACACTACAACACGAACTAGACAGACTTAGTGAGTGGTGCCAGGAATCAAGAGCTCACGTGAACCCATCCAAAGCCTCCTTAACATGGTTCTCTCTGAATACCCACATCGTTAGTACACCAACGCCAGTCGTAAGCATCTGTGGTGTGGACATTGAGAGAACGGACACCATGAAATACCTGGGCATGACATTTGACAGATGCTTGTCATACAAATGCCACGTAGACAACGTCATACTTAGAGCCAGGAAAGGTTTGACAGCACTCAAGGTGCTAGCAGCAGCTGATATTGTACAACGTCTACTTTTCCTTCTCTATCAAGGGCTTGTGCTTAGCGTCATTGACTATGGTCTTGGCCTCCTCACTGTCAACAGAACCCAGCTAGAAAGACTGGACCGAGTACAGAATGAGGCCATGAGACTCATACTCGGCTGCACAAAAGACACCTCCTGCAACGCTATGCGTTATGTCCTGGGTCTACCGACTATGACTAGCAGATACAAAGTGGCACAGGTCAAGGCTTACATGAGGGTATCGGCAGACGTTAACCACCCATTACACAAAGCTATACACGACACAAAAGGAACGCGTCTCAAAAGAGGTCGCTCTTGGATGACAAAGGCTGAGGACTTAATCCAGCAGGTATGTGACATAGAAGTGATCAGTCACGGAAAAGAATGGACGAATACACCAGTAGACATGCATGGCATCTCTAAGGTTGTCATCACACTCGGAAGGTACTGCAGGGATCACAGAAGTAAGGGAACTGATAGATCAGCATTCAGACCCAGGAGATACCATCATCCACACAGATGGATCCGTGAAGCGCG